ACTTTTCAAATGTTGTACAGCAGGGCTGTCAAGCTGGATTTCTTTGATCAGCATTGTAGTTCTCCTCTGCGGGCTGGCGGGGGGGGGGGGGCAGGGAGCAGGGATGGATGGGACAGACATCTCCTGCAGTACTCTGCAAGCCAAAACAGGCCACATGGAGACCTGTTTTGTAGCTCTACAACAGGGGCATCAACTCAAGGTCCATGGGCCAGATCTGGGCCATGGGGTACTTAATCTGGCCCGGAAATATCAAAGGACAGGCCCATGGTGTCTCTGCTGACCAAAATGGGCCACGGGGACGTGTGAGGCCCTCACGTGGCCCATTTTCAGCCTCCCCGGCCTCCTGCAGCACACTCTGCTGGCCAAAAATCAGCCATGCAAAGGCCCTGTGAGTGCTCCTGTGTGGCCTGTTTTTGGCCTCCACCGTCTCCAGCAGCACTCTGCTGGCCAAAAATGGGCATGTGGGGGCCTCATGAGGGCCCATGTGGCCCATTTTGGCTGGCAGAGGTACCGCGGGCCAATCCTTTGATATTTCTGGCCCGGCCCATGAGCCTTGAGTTGACACCCCTGTTGTAGAGCTACAGTGTTTATGTTAAGAATGTAAGAATCAGACTGGATCAGATTTTTTTTTTTTTAAAAAAAACCCTGTCTTGTCCCGCTTTCCCCCCCCCCCCCCCAGTAGTCATCCAAATATATTTGTAGAGGCCATCAGCGGAACGTGAGTGCAATAGCATCCTCTCACATGTTATTGAACAAGTGTTGGGAAGGATATTCCTTCATGGTTGAAACTAAGATATCTGCTATGCTACTGTGCTCAGGCAGAATGACTAAATAGTTAGCAATCCTGAGCACTTTTAATCTGGGGGATAAATTTGGGAAGCAAGATTGTGCTAGTATAATTTTATGCTTAGAACAAGTAGAAGGAAACTTGTCATACTGTATACCTTAGAAGACACAAAGGTCCTCGAAGACATATTGGAGAATGCTGAATATCAATTTTTGGTTTGAAAAGTTTTCAACTGCAGTTACTTTTTGTATAATGGCATTTTAAAAAACAACAACAGTAGGAACAAAAATAGTAAGGATTTTTGCTGCCCCCATTTTGACCTTTGAGCTATAAAGTACTGTAAAGATTACTGTATTGTCCTCAGAAAAACTGTCATACAACTTGAAATGTGCCTTATAGACTCCAATAACTTAAATATGCAAAAAATGTTGACATTTCCTAATGCAAAACTGTGTTGTCTGTGGAAAGGGAGGGGGGCTATATATTTTTACAATTTACTCACTAGAGGGATAAAGGGCTAATGTGTTATATTGTGATTTTTTTTAAAAGGGTGTCTGCCTGCCTAGCCACACATCAGGAACTGCATGTTAGCAGCAGAAACACTTGTCCCATTCATAAAAGTGAGGCCCTCTCTTTTTTCGGTTAGCTACCAAGTTCTTTAAAATAGTTTTATTATGATTGTGTCAAAGTGGTGCTAAAATACACATAACTACTTTATTTATGACATCAGATTCTTGCATGTATTAAAAGTTGGTAATACAAAACCTACTTTACATTTCTGCTTGATTTGTCATATTTAAAAATATACTTTATTAAACAGTGCTGTTGTATTCAAACGATAAAAAAAATCTTGTCCCATATTGCTGTTTCCTTGACTCTTATTTTTAGCTGTATTATATTATTATTAGATTAAATAAGCATAAGATCAAATCTGTTAAGTGCAATTTTATTGCAGGATGTTTCTGTACAATTTGTACAGACTTAAACAAATTAGTCTGCAAAGAAGCCTCTGAATCACCAGACCATGGCATACGGCAGATAGACCCTTGGTACCACCTTGCACCTGTAGTATTTCCTTTCTCAACGGCATATCTCTCTCTCTCTCTCTCTATCTATCTATCTATCTATCTATCTATCTATCTATCATCTATCTATCTAAATAATGATTTAAGTAAAAAAAATTTTTTTGCCAAACTGAGGAGCAGATCCAAGTCTTTCTAAATCTTACGTGAATAATTTAATTATTTTGTTAAGTGTTTTTAAATTTTATTTTATTGTACCCAGCAGAATAATGCATATTTCCGTCTCCCTTTCAATCTCAGAACAACCTATGAGATAGGTTAGCTTGCAAAATAGCTGTTATATCTGAATGAGGATGTGAACATAACTCTGCCCATTACCAAACCACCTCTCCACTCTAACCATTAGATCGCACTATTGTTATTCTTCCTCTTCCCAATTCATATTAAAATTGCTTCCCCAAGCCAGCAATGCAAATATTAAAACTTAATGTCCTGTTATTATATCAAACATTATTTGCAGTGAATCTAAAATTGTGCTACACAAACAGGAATATAGTTTTGAAATGTCATGTATCATGGGCTAAGGTTGTTTTGATCGGGAAAATGGAATGAACTACTGCAAATTATGCATATGAAATAGGAATTTGTGTTTCTTCATAGAATGTTTACTAACAATGAGGAAACTGAGATATTTTAAATGTAAATGCTGGAAGAAAAATTGTGAGCAGTATGTGACCTGTTGTGAGAAATGTTTGTTTAAAGCAGTGGTTCTCAACCTGTGTTCTGTGATATCATCACAGGGGATCCGTGAAGGCTGGTTGAAAAGTTATGATTTAAACCTTGAGTTAAGTATTGGGTCCCATGCCCATAAAGGCATATAAAGAAGGGCCCATGGTGAAGAAAAGGTTGAGAATCACTAGTCTAAAGAAATAAACAAAATAGCGTTTGGATGTTAGGGTTTAAATTTTTTTAAAAAAATCCCAGGATCCCTGATCAAGGAGCAACACTTTTGTGATAGAAAATTGGCTGTATTCAACTGAAATTTATTTGGTTCTTAATGTCTCACAGAACCTCAATCAAGATCTTGCAGAATCCCAGAATTCTGCAGAACACATTTTCAAAAAACCTGATATCTGGAATTGAGGTGAACTAGATCCGACTCATGTTTCTTTAGTTTTTTTAATTATTACTTCTTACATCTTTTCTATGATTTGCACAATATTGCTTATGTCAAAAGAATAAAACAATGGTTATGTGAGATATGGATATAATAACCCTGCGTTATCATACCTGGAAAAAGCAACCTGTTTTTCCCAAAATGAATTTTTCCATTTTGGTTGCTGAATTCTACATCATTAGAAGATGCTGCTGCTTAACACTCAAAGTAAGCTATTTGTTCAAAATGAAAGCACAATAGAGGCTCTTGATTTTAAAATACAAAGAAAATTCATATATGATACACGTGTTCAAAATAAAAGGATGACTACCAACCATACAGATTTAAGCCTTTTTAGCTAAATTAGCTAAGCTGAGCAGACCATGTCTTCAATGTAACTGAACATTATGTTTCATTAAAATTCATGTTAACCCTAATAAATACATATGTATAGGTGGTGTGGCAAAAACCAGGCTCACTTAAAATAACCAAATCACACTGAAGATACAACATAGATTTATTAGCATAAAAACAGTAAAATAATATACATTGAACTCATGTCCCAGCTGGGCAGACTTGACCAAAAGCAGAATCGTAGCCTATATGCCTTTGACTTCTTACATTTCAAACACAAGGTAAGGGGAAAAGGCACAGAATAAATTGGGTAGGTGACTTTGGGCCAGGCATTTTCTCTCAGCCAACCCACCTCACAGGGCAGCTGTTGTGGGGAAAATAGGAGAAGGGAGGTGTGTTGGATATGTTCTCCACCTTGAGTTATTTCTAAAATTAATAATAAAGGCAGGATATAAATAAATAAAATGATACTGGAATGTTTTTGATGAACCCATCTTTGTAACATTTATCACTTCCTACTAGGTTGGTATGCTGGTTATACTACTTTTGAAATATGGTCTGTAAAAATAAACAATTTGGTTTACTGTCTGATTCTTCCCCCTATTACTATTCAGAATCAATTTTGCTTGCTGGAAATATTTTTTTACAAGGTATTGGTTGGGGATGGGGGAATCCCATAGGTTTGGTATTGAATGCAACTCATATCGGTGTGTGGGGAGTATATTTATTAGTTGACAATTATATCCCATGGTTCAGTTATTGGGATCAAAGTTAAATAGAGTATTCATATGGGTTATCCATTTTTAAGATATTCAACTCAAAGGAGCATTTTGTTGGCCCCAGAGCCATTGGTGTTTGTGAAAATTAAAAACCAATGATATGGGCACCAGGATAGAGCCTCTAAACAATCAAAATTAATACTATCACAATAAAAATTTCAACTTCATAAAAGCTATTAATTAAAACATGATTGAAATTATATTGATTGCCCCTTTTTAATCATTTATTTAAAATTTGACATTGCACCTACAATTTGGCAGAAAAAAAATCAAACCAATACAACTCTATCCAGTTCAGTCATGTAGCCTACAGGCCAGTGTAATTCCCTCTGCAATTAAAAACTTGCTTGTTTTTTGCAACACAGATAAAAATGCACAAACATATTAACCATCAGATATTGTAGAAATGTATATAAGAGACTAACAAAATAAAATCCAGAATACGAGTATAACAAATTAGGAACTCTGCATTATTTAACAAGTAATACCTCTATACTAATTGTACCTAATCAAGCTAGATATTTATTTTAAAAATATTAATGCTATCTTAAATTTAAGCTACATTAAAAATGATGTCTATTTAAGTAAAAACAATTATCAATCAAGGTACAGTATTTATGTGCAACCAATCTAGCAGAATGACATTCAATGCTCATGTACTGTTATTTGCAAGCCTTTGTTGCAAGCAATTCTAGTATGTAAATTGAACCTGCCTATTGCTGTAGTTGGATTGCCAAAACTACACAGTATTATATTTAAATTTTCAATTATCCTATAAAACATCATATGCCAATTTTATTGAGAGTTTGCTGGTATGTTCAGCAATCCTTATTCTTGATGTAACAGTAGCTTAGTTGTTGGAAAAGTTAAATTATCTACTACACCATTTTTTCTAAAATAATTTAGATTTAAATTTAGATCTAAGATAGCACAATTGTCCCATGCAAGTTCTCTAGAAGTCTGCCATCGTATTATCAGTAATGATGTTTAATGATTGATTCAAAGTTCAAAGTGGGTCAATTTTTAAAAAAGCATAATAATTAAACTGATGTTTGCTTGTAGTTTTTTGTATCCAAGACTTTCTTTCCACACATTGCACAGATACCTGTTAATAAAAAGCACAGGAATACTGAAATTACTTTTGATCATCCAGGATAACTTATTTCTCAGTGACCAAATACACTTTAAAGGGAAGAAACTGGGTTTACGGCAAATATTCACCTTTTTTGTATGCACATCCCTGGCAGTAATGAGAGCCTGGCTGATGAACTGAACTTTTACAAATCCGGCATATTGCAAATTTGTTTTTGCCATAAGGATCAAATCTAAGAAGATAAAAACAAGTGAATTAGCTGTTTATCAAAACAATTTTTGTTTACTTTCATATATTTGCAATAAATGGGGTCAGAGGGAGGTGGTCACAAATCCCCCAGGAAAGCTAATAAATGACCCAATAGAGTTTGTCTGTTGCAGTAGCATAAAACAATCAAAATGCAATTTGTCATTTTGAACTATCACTATATTTTGCACAATAATATATTGTTGTGCATATATAAATTATTCATGTGTCCATGTTTTTTCTTATACCTTTTCTTTTCTACCTAGGCTCAATCGGACCATATCACATATGCATGATAATTTCCCAGTCTTTTATTTAGTTGTTCAGTGTCTTACAAAATTACCATGATCTACCCCAGTGTTTTTAAACTTGGCAACTGTAAGATGGGCTTCAGGGAATTCTGAGAGTTGAAGTCCATACATCTGAAAGTTGCCAAGTTTGAAAAACACTGATGTAGCCATTGCTCCTCAGGATGCAGTGATATTGGTAAAGAGTTACAGGTGCTAAAAGTACAGTGCAGTGGGAAAAACTTCTATGCCAACTCTAGGCTGTAAGAAGTAGGAGTGACTATATGTGGAAATATGAAAGAGACTAAAATTCAGAATGAATAAGCAAGTTCACAATTTTTCCAGCATTTGATTCATTTGGTAAGTGAATTAAGATTTTAATTACCTTGCCTTTTTTGATGTCAATGCCTTGTTTTCATTTAATTTTCTCCCACCACTTTCTATAAATAAAAAGATATAATTTTGAAATCACTTCAAATTAAAGTTGAAGCCATTAAAAAGAAAAATGAATGTCCAGAATACTCAGCAATAAACATGAAAATGAGCAAGACATCCTGAGAATGCTGTATTTTTTTTCCAACCACATCTTAATCATGTCCTTTTAATTTTTTACTACCACCTAACTACTTGTGAGACTGATCTACCATTAGATAAGTAACACTTCTACGTATACAATGGGATTTTGTCTTTCTTCTGCATCCACATAAGTCCACAAATCTTTTCTCCTAAGTTTTAAGAATTTATATGAACTGAAGGAATTTTGTTTCGATTCACTGTGTGACATATCCCTAGATACAACATTTTGCATTAATCTTCCTTCCACAATTTAATAATTTCTGTGATTGATTTTTCCTTGCTAATCTCAGTAGTAGATCCTGTTCTTTTTAGCAATTTGAACAACCAAAACAGAAAGTGTACATTGCTAAAGATCAAAGCAGAACTGTGGGGGAGTCACATTCATTTAAAAACTACTTCAAAACAGGAAAATAACTAAAATCAGGACATTGTGTATCTGTAGGATAGATATTTAACAGGTTTTCCTAATCTAATATGATTAAGAATGCTTGCATCATAGGACATGTAATATTGCTATCAATATTTGTACAACCAGAAGTCTAATGCAGATCTAAATTTTGTGATATTTAAGAATACCTGTTGTGTTTCTTGCACCATCTTTCCAGGTATCAGGTGTAATTACTATACCAAGTTTTCTTTCACCTATGGAGTAGCATTGAAAAGACAGAATAAAAATTATAATATAATAGATTGCAACAGCACAGTATATTCAGGTCAGGTCATCTCACAGAACTGATAATAATACAAATATTAGTAATACGAAGTACCACATTCCATGTGGCTTATTTTTTCTATAACTATAACTCAAGGAAACTTGAAAACCATTGAAGATACATGGAATTTATAAAATCTGTCCTCTGACTCTAGAAATTGCCCTTAGGGATTTTGTGAGTTTTTGATGCCAATACATGTTTTTAAAGCTGTGAGGTATTGATTCTTCTAAACACAGTAGAGATTACTTATCAATAACTATAAACAGCTCTCTGACACATAACTACAAGAAAGTATGATTAAATGAAAACAGGGCATAAATATAAAAATAACTAATGTAAATGTAAACAAATAGTAGTTTGCAGATTTTGAGGCTTACTGGTATATAGCAAATTGATATATGTAAACAACGATAGTTTGGGATCTAGATTTTTTAATGCATATCTTATTATATATTAATAACATTAATATTATTTTGAGTAAAAAATCTTATAGTCACTACAGTGTAATTATCTAGTTACCATAACCTTGTGTAGTTAAGTTGTAAGAATGGTAAAACTGTAACCCTACACCACTACACAATCCTTTGGGTCAAGAAAAGTTGTATTGATAACCTTGAATCTTGGTTTCGAAATGAGCTCAGCTGGTATCTTTCAGGTTCAGTTCTCTTTTTCCCATCTACATTATGAATTCTGTAACTAATAATCCCAAAAGCTGACAAAAAACTATAGCATAACAAACCTCTCCTACTGTTGTACCTGGTCAATACATTCTAGGTGTTTTGTTACCAGTGATTTTCAGAACAGCTGTTATTGCTAGGATTTACTGAAAATTTTACAGTATTCACTATTTGGGGGATCAAAACATCCAATAAACAGCAACCTTCAAGACACTTGCCCCTTTAAGTCACTTTTAAATGCTTTGAACCCTCATTCATAGTATATTCATAACAATAGCGTTACTGTACACCTCCAAACACAACAATCTAAGGCATGTGTATTCACAGACCCAAATCGTACTAAGTGCACTCAGGACGGCAACCTAAAAGCAGCTGTCCCAAAATTTCTGATTTAAGTATCACACAAAGAAGTAAATCCTTGGCTTTTAGAGCAGGCAGCCCTCCGATTTTGCTTGGGGCACTGATCTGAGTATCTGCATTAGATAGTGTCATCGACGCAACGCGCCTGATTTTGGGCAAAGCCCGGGAGACAGTGGAGGATTGTGTGTGTGTGTGTGTGTGTGTGTGTGTTGCTATGGTCCATAGGTTCGTGAAGAGTCAGATAGCGACTGAACAACAATAAATGATTTGAACACACTAGGTCCCGACTCCTTCAGACATATAACTGGGGGGGGGGGGGGGAGTAACTGTTCCTTGGACCCAAAATAGAAGCGTCAGTCAACCCGAATTTTACCCCTTTCTCAGGAACGGGCAGCTTCCCCCCCTCCAAAAAAAGACACACCACCCTGTACTTCAGTTGTTAAAGGAACCTTCTCACTTTACACCGCCCGTTCTCCCACCGTCACCCGTCCCTTCAACTCACACTTCTCGCACACCATGACGAAGGCCTAAAACACCAACCGAAACCGGCGAAAAACAACAACAACCGTCAGCAGCCAGCCGAGAGGGGCTCGAGCTTCCCCACCACCGCCACAACAACAACAACGTTCCACGGCCGAACCTCCGTGAGCCTCCACATTTCCGCTTCCGTTTTCCTCGTGACGTCCAGGGCACGAGAGCGCCTTCTACTTCCGTACGGTGGACTGCCGTACGGAAGTAGTCATGACGTAAGAGCCTGCGGGAGCGGGAGGGGGGGTTGCGTGAGGCCAGTCGCGATAAAGGAGCGCGGAGGTTGTTTCTAGGTGGGTGGGTGGGTGACGTATTTTCGAAGCTTCCCCCTCATAGCATCTGGGAAGCGGCAGGTAAGCTGGATCGCCGCCGTTGCCTCGGAAGCCTTGTCTCCTGCCTGTCCTATAGGGCAGGGCTCTTCAACCTTGGCGACTTTAAGCCTGGGGCTTTGCTGGCTGGGGAATTCTGGAAGTTGAAGTCCCCCAGGTTTAAAGTCGCCAAGGTTGAAGACCCCTGGGGGCTACCTTGCCACCACTTGCCTCGATATTTTTCCGGATAGCAGCCTCCTAAAAGCCTGCACGCAGGTGAAGGAAAGGAAACTGGGAGAGACTTATGTCCTTATTGGTCCTCTGTTGATTGCAAGTCTCTTGCACATTTTCACCCACTTCCTGGCCGATCGATGCTAGGAAAAATAGCTTATTTAAGCTTTGTTTAAATAACTTAAACAAACCTTGCAAAGGCTGGCCTGAGTCTGTTGTTACATCCTCTAACCCTCACTCCTTTACCCTCAGACTAACCTCTGTTGAGCTCACCCCATTCCTGTAAGGGGCGTGCATAAGCGCACAATCGTGCCTACCGTCCCTGTCCTATTGTCCCCAATTATTACTTCCTATTTCTTATATTTAAACTTCCTTATTCTTGTTTCTGTTATATTGTATGCTTTTGACAAATAAATAAAAAAATTAAAAAAAAATAATAATAAGTACCTTTCGGTACTCCATTGGGAATAGAAACCTCAATTCAAATTGAGGTATAGTCCTCAATTTACGACCACAGTTGAGCTCAACATTAACGTTGCTAAATGAGAAATTTCTTAAGTGAGGTTTGCCCCGTTTTATGACTTCCTGTGCCACATTTGTTAAGTGAATCGCTGCCGCTGTTAAATTAGTCACAGGGTTGTGAAGTCAGTCTGGTGTCCCCGTGGACTTTGCTTATCAGAAGTTTGCAAAAAGTGATTATGTGTCCACAGGACACTACAATCGTTATAAATGGGAGTCAATTGTCAAGTATCCAAATGTAAATCATGTGACAGTGGGGATGCTGTAACAGTTATAAGTGTGAAAGATGGTCATAAGTCACTTTTTTCAGTGCTGTTGTAAGTTCGAATGGTCACTAAGCAAACTGTTGTATCTGTTGCCGAGGTCTACCTGTATCTGTGGATGTATCTGTTAGGCTCCATTCTTCACTGGTGCAGGTAACTTGGAAGGAGATCAAATCTGAACAGTGACTCAGACAGAGAGATACATTCTTTTTCTGAGGGTTTATTTATTTATTTGGCATATGGCAAATACATGGACTTATTGTAGTTCAGATGTTAAAGCTCTTGATGGACATTCCAACACAATGTGATGGATATTTTGTTGAGGAGCACTACAGTCACACTAAGGGGTAGCGACAAGACCCCTCTGAGACCCCCCCCCCCCGCTTTCTGAGAGTAAAAGAGGATGTATCTCTACTTCCAGTTCTCTTCATTGGAATTGAGGTGTTTGCAGCTAAACCAACCCAGCGCATAGGAGAAGACCTGGAGTCATTACTTTGGAGTGGCATCCTCTTAAATGGAAGTATGTTGAAAGTCTTAAAAGCCGTTTTTATCAACTATTTTAAATATTTTTATTTTCTTTCATACAACAAATTATAACTTTGGAGCTACTTGTTTTTTCCATGCCTCTAAAAGTTATTGCAGGCACATTTGCTATGCTATAAACCCATTTCATTTCTGTAGGAATGCATTATCTTTTGTACAAAAGAGAATTGCCCTTACTACCAATGTTAATATAAATGCCTTAATTTGCTTCTCAACAGGTGGAAATTAAAGATAAGAAAACATGAAAGATACAGAAATAAAGAGACTGCTGACTGCCAATGTCATCTGTATCTTTTCTGTTATTTTAACTTCTATTATTCCTTCTTTGCTCTTGAAGAATTTCTCAATCCTGGACACACATTTGACATGGCTGTGCATCTGTTCATCAAGCATTGGTATTATAAATATAATTTTACATATGATTTTTAAGCCATATTTATCTACAAGAAGATATTCTTTTGCCCACAAGGTATGTTATGTTTGATAAAATTTAACTATTGGTATGAGGCATGGATAACTTTTTTATTTGGCATTTTTTTGATTCTCAATAATGTTCTATTTGTTCCAATGCTATATGGAAGATTATATGAAAGAGTAAAATTGAATAAATGATTGCATGCTTTCAGCTCTTTAGGAACTTTATGGTTGCAATCAGAATAAAACTCAAAGCTCCATGTCTTCCATATCATTTCTCTCTCAATTAAAACAGTAAAATATTTTATAAGTAATTAAATGCTCTCTTGAAATTTCTGCTGTAAGGAATCTGGTTTTTCTTTGTCTAAATATGAGGTATACCTTGCTATTATTTAAATATAATCTTATAAAACTTTATTTTATAAAAGTCCATGTTAGATTGCATTTAAAGTTTTAAAAGAATCCAATCATATCAAGCAAAATTGCATATCAAATGAAACTGCCTTTCTAGTGTTAAAAGGATCCTAGTCATATTTCCCAAAGAATGGCAACAAATCAAGAGAGAAATGGTGGCCCTTTATAAACAGGTTAGGTAGTTTTCCTGGCATCGTGTCTGTGCCTGGGAGCTACGATAGTGCATTCTTGTAGAATATTTTCCAAACCCATCTTTCCAAGTCCACATGTGTAACCTTGTCCATTGTATAGCTTGTGTGTAGATTTATCTTGCAACAATGTGGTAATCAGAATATTGTTGTGGACTTACAAAAAATCAAAATTAAGCGTAAGAGCTTTCTAGCAGTTCTGATTAATAACTGTCACAAAATTGATTAGGACACTGACTGATTTTGTGAAATATGCTTGCAAAAGTATCCTTAGCTTGTAAATCTTGATTCAGATATATTGAATCAGCTGTGAAACTGCAATACAATAGCTCCTACAGGAGCATCTTCCTAACTTTGAGAATATCATAAGATTCAATATGGTATAAAACTAATTCTGATTATTTATATTTATATTTATATTACCAGTTTCAGCACGAGATTAAAACACATTATTACACATTTTATGCCATGAAAATAAATGTGACTTAAAAGGGTTTCAATCTGGGCATTTTGTTTCAGTTGAACATGTTTAAACAAGCATTTCATTTTAATAATAAAACTCAGTTTTTAAAGAATTTATAGCCCCAAAATGAGCAACCACTCATGCTATGCAACTCAGCCTTGTTCAAAAAGCCTTGCTAGAAATCAGATTGGACTTCTAGCAAGAGATATATATTGCTGTCTAGGAGACTGCAGGATGGGGATGGAGGGTCAGGCAGAAAGGGAGAAGTCATTAACTACTAACAGTAGTCATTGTTAGTTTTGGTTCTGCTATCAAGAGACTGTAAGAACCCAAATATTAGTTCAGTGTTAATGATCTAGAAAAGGGTTACAAGGGTTTTAATTTAATCTAAGTATAATTAATCATGTACTTCATGGTACAAGAGCTTGTCCTCTACAAAAAATATGTATATTGATGGTATTATATATATTTCATTCTCTTTAAAAGGTGACAAGATTTGTAAAATGCTGTGTTTACTTCTTCATATCTTGTATCCTCTTCCATGGAATTATTGTTCTTTACGGAGCACCGTTACTAGAGTAAGTATGTCTCTTACAACTCCACCTGGTAAATCACAAAGTTAAATTTTAGAAATTTGAACTATGAATCAGTCTGGATTTACAGTGTCCCACATAAGACCCTCTAGTGGGAAAAGGTAATATGGATTTGCTTTTAGATATGTAGTTCTGGGATAATATTAAATATTAATAATGAAGTCAAAAATAATATGACCCGCTTGCTTAGTTAACTTAGAGTTGATAAAAAAGTCAGTGACAATTTTGCTCTCCTACCTTCAAGAATAAATAAAGATGATAATTCACTGCTGAAGTAAAGAGGGCAGTAATTCTAAGAAAGAATATGCAGTCAAAGTTAGACAAGATAATGAGAAAGAGGATAAATTATGGATCAGAGGACATTTAGTAAGATTACCATGGATTGCGAATAGCAGCAGCAAATCAATTTTGACCCAAATAGGTTGACCATGCGGGCAAGGAATTGATGGGCTAGAAAAAAGAAGTATATTTAGCGAAGTTGAGAGAAATCAGAAAAGTAGAGAACAGATAACCTGATAGATGTGATCAAAAAGATGTGGCAATGGTGAAATGAAATAAAGGCTCTATAACAGCGGTACTGGAGAAGCACCTGCTCGTTGGTTCTATGTTTCCAGAGTCACAGGGCCATTGTCTCTCCAAGTAGGGAATCTTCCTGTATTGGCCTTTTAAGAACAGCTGAGGGAAGGACATGACATTGAGCCATGGTAAATCCCTTCCGGTGGTTAGGTACTTTGAGTAACATACATAATTATTATTCATTATATTTACATCTCACATTGCCACAGGAACTCAAGATAGTTTATATTGGAGACTCCCCTAATTTTATCTCCAACAATAACCATCTGTAAGTTGGGTTACACTATGAGTAAGTACTTAGCCCTGAGTCAGTTTGAATTTGACTTTGGCTCCATTGATCAAAATGACATATTGGTAGAAATATTATTTTTCGTATGAAAATGGCTTATTTTAATATATTATTGCCAAGTTCTTAATGGTGTACTAAAATTGTATTTCAGTTGTAGGTAGGGCATTCTATCACAGATTCTACATTTTACTGCTATAAATTCATCATAATCAATTGTAGCATAAGGTTTAATTGGCAAAATATAAAAAGAATCCAGGGACTTTGGTGGCCTTAACCAATCAAACAAAAGGTTAGATTTTTAAAAATCCCATCTTTATTATTTTTATAAACAACTCAGGGTTGCGAACATATGCA